AGTATATAGACGTACCATAAAGTGCTTAGGAAGAGCATTAGCAGACTAAAATGAACTAACCCTGTAGCAGTATTTCAGCTGTACTGCTAATAGTGCCATTTAATTCAGAATTCAGTAAAAAATCAATCGAAAATGGGGCACGATGGGCATCGTATATTTCGGAAGGAATAGACAAAGACAGCCTGAAAAGGCTGCTTTGTTACAACTACTTCAGGTGAATCTTGATGTTTTAAGCGTGATGTCAATGGAGAAAAAAAACAGTTTTTTAGCTAAACTTCAAAATACTTTTGGGCTTGCGGATGGGTCGGAAGTTACTACTACTTCTGACTGATGTAGGTGACGACAGGATTATAGGTCTTACTGTCATTCTGCGCGAAAAGTAGCGCCTAGCGCGGTTTTATTTGCAAATATTTTAGAGGAAAATTTCTGCGTAGCATAGGAAATAGACTAGTCAAGTAAAAGACTGAAGTTTCTAAAAAAAATTCAAGCAACCCCAACAGACGAAGAAAGAACTCGGAAAAGACATTGGAGTTCGTACAGGTACGTAGAATAGTGGGCACTTCACTTTACAATGGACCAAAATTACAAACAGTTCGCTTATCCTTATCGCTGTTAAGAATTTTAAAATACATTATTTTCACACCAACGGTGAAAAAAAAATATAAAGCTTAAGGTATTGCCGGTGCCAGACAATATTGCAGGATGTTATAACTGAATTATTGCATAAAAAGGCAATACGTATATGTAAAAAAAAGGAGAGTTTTTATTCCCTTTTTTGCTATTCGTCGACAACCTGACGGATTCTCTAGATTTATTTTTATGTCTATGTCTTTGTTTTGGTCGGAACCACCTATTTAATACTTCAATGTATACCGATAATCATTTATCTTGTCGATTAGAAGATTAGAAGAGCCTTCAAACAACGCCTTCTCAGAAGTGGTAATATTGATGTATTATTTTTAATTCCATTGATTTGTCGTTGTCTTTACCAGTGGATGAAACCGTTAAAACTCCAAGTCTTTTATATCAATTATTAAAAAAAGTCACTGTCAAAATAAAGACTTTACCAAATCATTTGTCCTACCGCATCAAGCCGTTTCAAAGACATAAATGTCTTTGTCTGAAGAAGGGCGCAACTAGAACAAAATTGTGAGTACACAGTAAAATATTGAAATATTCATTGACGCTGTCTCAACTCGTTGGGGAGCATTCGCTAAGAGAGAAAAAGTCACGATTTTGGGTCATAGTCTAAATCTAAAGAGCACATAAGAGTTTGAGAACTTTGGGCTGCCTTTTCCTGCTTAAAATCCTTGCGGCAATTACGAAATACTGTTTCATTGGAAAATACTACAGCATATAGATACTAGACAATACCGACAATACAGGAACTTATTAATCAACTATGAAAAGCAAATTGAAAATCAACATGACCGCTGACAGATCATCAATAAATTTGGATGCGGTATTTTTACGGCAAGTGTGTAGACATAGCTATTTAGAAAGAAAATAATGCAAAGTGGGGGTTAGTGGATGAAAAAACTTGAATCGAATGGGAGAAGTGAAATATGAACACCTAAATCAGATTACTAGAGATTGAATCGCTTCATTAATATACATGATAATGTTAAAATTTGAATTGAGTTCGGTTACTTTCATTAGAATTGTCCACATCTTTGGACTGTTTTTCTTCTAAACTAACACTGAATGTTTTATGTATGTGTCGTAGAAAAAAGATCCAAACTGTAGCGCAGTAAATGCATTCTCAGTATCATGGAGAGATTATGTCTTTTACACTTTAGTACTGCTTGTGTTAAGCAAAACAATTTTAGAAATGATTCAGGGTTAGTAGCCGTACCACACTGATCTGGTATCCACTTTAGGAGAAATCCACAAGAGAACCTCGTTGTTATTTCCTTTCTTTAATTCCGAATCGCTATAGTCTAATAATCTTGTTATAGTCATTATAGGCCAGGAATCAGATATACATATAATTTTTAAAAACAGACATCTGGTCAAAGGCTTCCACCAGTGATGGACTTATGCAGAAAGTGGCCGAAATTTTCTTGGGAGCACCCATATAATTCTTGTATCTGTTATACACCACCGAATTCTTCAAAGCTGTAGGTCTAGTTAGGAATCTAGTTGCCAAGTAGATTCTTTTAATCTCCGAATTACTTTCCCGACTTCTGTAAGTGAGGCGTTTATAGGAGAGGATTCATTATCCCTAGGGCTACCTTGATAGCTTGAAATTGGACCCTGTCCAGTTTCCTAATGTCCCTCTTGTAACAATTACCTAAAATGATGGAACCATAATCGAGGTGAGATCTGATATGTGCTTTGGGGTGACCGCCCCACCAAGTTCTAGTCAGAGCCTTCAACATATTAATATCTGTTGCCGCTCTTTCAGCCATTTGGTAATTTGTGCTGCCCAAGACGCTTTAGAGTCAAAGGTGAATCCAAGATAAGTTAATTGATTCTTCCAAGGAATGGATTCATTAAGGATATTAAAAGCCTGAGGCGGGGCCATTATTTTTCTTTTTGAGAATAGGATTGTAGAACATTTCCGTGGGTTCACAGTAAGATCAAAAGTCTGTAAGCCACTAATATATTCAAAGATGTATTAAGCATATGAATCACTTGCATAATGTTCTGTTGACTGCAAACCAAGGCTATATCATCTCCGAACTGAAAAAGTTGACACACACCATGAATGAATGAATTTTGCATTGGACTTCCTTAAAGTAAGTCGTTTGATTCTTAAATTATGCACCAAGTTTGTTAGACGGTGTTTAATAGACAGTGGTCTAAAGAAAAACAATTTTTGTGGGAGGGTCAAAAATTAACAAAAAATAATTGCGACTAAACGGAAGGGGGCAGAGGGGAACTTTGAGATATCTGCGCGAAAATTTGAACTTTGCGGGAATAACGTGTAGTTTAGACAGTCTACGTTTGATAACGATCATTGATGCAACTGCCTGAGACGTTGTGTAATTTGAAATAAAATAACGACAATGGAAGTTTGACAATCTGTTACTATTTGTACTGAAACGTTGTCTACCACCTTCGGGCAAACGAATTTCTCTATGTTTGAGAACTCATAAATAATGCCATAGCCTGCCATAGTGCAAAGTACTGAATTGTTCCTTTCAATAATTAAAATGTCGTAACTTGTTTCAGTTCACGCTGCTCATTTTTTTAATGTATTTTATGACTTGTCGAGTATTTAAATAACCAGTTTTTTATGTGTTTTTGGGAAATTTTCCAATGGCTGGTTAGTCGCTGACATGTGCTGCGTAACAAGTCATGTACAGTGACTGACAGCTTAAATGATGCAGTCGCTATAACAAAAATTAACTGGTCTGAATGTCTCATTATTTATTTGAAAAAAAAAAACTTATTGCAATTAAGTTAGTAAAGAGCCTTCTTAAAAAGTGTGAATTACTTTTTGTCTTAAATATGCCTTACTTAGTTAACAATATAGAATTAATTAGATTATATAAAATATGAACGTCACAGCTTAAATGACGCAAAACAAAATATACTCCTGCTAATATTTAATCGGGCCTCCCTCATCTAATCGATAACAGCTTGTAGTCTTCTGAGTATTGATTCAACTAATTTTCTAGTATACTCCGGAGAATTGTGTTCCATACTGCAGTAATTTTTACTTTTAATTCATTCTTTTTAGACATTGCGGCACTATTTACTTTCTTTTTTTATGTCAACCACAAATTTTACATTTAAGTCTGGTAACTAGGCTGATGTCTTAATAACATTTGGGCATTTATGAAGCAACCAACTGCGGACCCGAAATGACGTGTGCTTTGGATCATTGGCATAATAGAACCGATAACTGTTACCCAAATTTAATTTTTGGGCACTAGCAATTTTTCAATTTTAATTCTTCCTTAGGCTTTCTCCCTACTGATATTTTTCCATCGGATTTAAATAAGTTTATTTTGGTCTCATCGGCAAATATTACTGAATTCCAGAAGTTCAAACCTTTATCGATATGCTCTCTAGCAAATGCCAATCTCACGCGTCTATTTCTTCGGCTGATGAATTGTTTCGACTTTTTTCCAAACAGTCTTTCCAACTCGACACACATCTTTGGAGGACTTTTTTTTTCATAATACGATACCTTTCTTACAATCCATCTTTCCTTGACTTATTCTCGACCCAATTTTCATTGCAGTTAAAGCTCAATGATATGCTGAACAGTTGACGGACATTTATTTATCATTTTGGTTGTGTCTCTTTGGCTGTATCCATTTCTGTGATGAGTAATAATTAAATTTCTCTCAGAAATTGTATTCCGACGACCCATTAAAAAAAAACGTTTTACGAAAACGTGTTTTAATATGTCAAACTAATCAAAAAACAATTGCAGTAATAGATGATAAATTTCCTACTGATTAATTTTGATCCCGGTTATTATTTTTTCATCATTTCAGCAGTGACGTTAGATTGCATATAATTTAATTAATTCGTTATTGCTAACTAAGGCATATGTAAGACAAAAAGTAATTAACACTTTTTTAGAAGGCTCTTTGCTAACTTATTTTCAACAACTTGTCTTTTGCCAAATAAATAAAGAGACATTCAGACCAGTTAGTTTTTGTTATAGCGACTGGAGTCACTGTATGTAATACCACCTTTACTTTTATCTCGGTGATTATGTGTAAGCACACACGCCAGGGCCGATATTTGTCAGACATGTTTGAAAAAGGCAGGTGGCGATTTTTAACACACTGCTCGCAAGCGGGGGCACAAGCCGATAATAATAACAAAACCGTACCGCATACTCGGTCCGGAAAGCCACACGATACGGCGTGAGTCACCTAACCTATCCCAACGCGTGCTGTCGGCTTAATAATTAAAACACTTAATGATAATATATTAATTGCAAAACATGCAGTGCATAGTGCAGAGTGCCGAAATGGTACGAGCGTCGACGGAAATCGACGAACGGGCGTCGCTAGTGGGAGGTAAACTTTGCGCGACGCTAGTGTGCGCTTCGCCGTCGTGACGCTGCTCTGACGAAAGCTTCGATTTCGCGCCGTTCGGCGAGCTTTTGCGAAAACATCGCGAGTTTTCGCCGCGTTTTGCGACACAACGTGTCCGATTTTTTCGCGTTCATTAAATTTGACGTGAAAAGTCGGAGCGCCGGATTTTCGAGCGTTTGGCTGTATTTGGGGATTTTTGTTGTGTTATTAAAAGTAGCTTTTTGGTGCGATGACAGAAACTTACCCGTGACAAATTACTCGGAGCGAAAACGCGATAGTGTTGTAGAATAATTGCCGGATGATATTTTTGTGATTTTTTTTTTGGTGTTTTGGATTATAGTGCACTAAATTAACAGACTTGGAGTTTGAGATCTTGGCATGGGGGTCAATAGGATGTTGCTTATTCTTGGATTATTCACAATACAAGGTCAGATATGATTGCTTTGCTTCTTTTTTTTTTAAATTAAAAAAAAACGCTCATATATACTTTTGACATCTGTGCAACTAATTTAAAAACGAAATTTTTTATTAAACTAAAGTAATCATTGAAGAGTTTTTCTTTACATTGTACGCCCTCACAGAGAGTTTATTATAAAAGAGAAAAAAGATCGTGATTAAATTAATTAAAATGATTTCGTCCGTGTCATATGTCTTTGTAATAGTACTTTGCCCGGATTTCAAATATATTTTTATCTGAGTATAATGTACCAATCGGCAAAAACTTCATTTTTAAAGATAATCGATTGGCCTTTTTCCGCAAACTGCAATTTTTTTTAAGCCCTCGATATGCGACAACGGAGGACCTCTCAAACCTCCATTTAAAAAATATGATGAACACGGCGTGTTATACAATATTTTACCGAAAAATTTCACAACATATGAAGAGTGTAAATAATAACAAAATGTTTTGCAAAAATTTTCAAAATTTCTGGCTCATTTGACCAGTCTACCATTTCCAAGGCAAGTTTAGTTCATTCATATTCATAGTAGCATATATTATTTCTATATAAATTCTGAATAAATAGAATTAATCTAAAGCAAAAAGTTATTTAAGTCGCAATGCGGTCTTTAAAATATTATTATATTAAATCAAGTATTTTTCAGTTCAGGTTCATGTAAAACACGGTGACCAGGTACATGGTTAATAAAATATTAAGGGTCAATATTAGTGAATTGTTGTTAGCCGACACCGTTATCGTTATCGTCGGTCGATGTAATATGGTTTTAAGTATTTACCGAAAGGCTATCAGTAATTATTTCTTTTGACAGTGGTCACTACGTTCCACATAACAACTTTGAAATGTATTTATTTACTCACTGAATTAATGGATTTTGGAAGAATGTAATAAGCGTATGTATTTATGAGGCAGCGTATTTATTTACGAGGCGCGGATTTTTTTCTTGACAGTACAAGGTCTATTTCAAACCTCGCATACGACTCGGATACGATGCGTCTACAAACGGTTTGGAGGGTAAAGTGAAATATTTCAAATTTTCTAGTATATATGGTATTTTTTATGCAATATTTTAAGCCTTGTTTTTTATATAAAAAAACTGACCTAAACTAAAATGTTGTTTCATTATGTCATTAAATAATTTTTTATACTGCCTTCTGTAAAATACCTAATTATACACTCATCTAGCATACGGATAGCGTCACTTCACCACGTGGGTTTCTTGGGCCACGGATCCGAGTCCCTTCGGACATTTCCGGTATATTACCGCAAGATTTACGGGCAAACGGAGATTTTACCACATCGCTTGAATTTTGACGTTTGTCAAGTCTGTCGGTGTTGCCAGCGAATGAATTCCGGTTGTTTTGCAAAAATTGGCCCAAAAACTAACGGTCGTACAAAATAGTATATTATGCATCAAGTGCGGTAAACGGAATTTGACTCACGAGTTTATTTGACACGAGCGGAGCGAGTGTTTAATAAATGACTTAAAAAGTTTACCGAACGTCTTGCATACTATACTTTTTCTACGACCGTTAGTCTTTGGGTACATTTTCGCAAAACAACACTGAATACTGACACTGACATTATCGTCAGAATTGACAAACATCAAAATTCAACCTGTTCGGTAAAATCTTCGAAAACGTCCGATTGCTTTCTAACCCGTGGGTTAATATTCAGCAAATGTCCGAAGTGGCTCGGATCTGTGTAATAAGAAACTCACGTGGTAAATTGGCGCTTCCTGCAAGCTAGATCGGTGTATAATTCGGTATTTTACAGAAGGGAGTAAAATTTTTTTTAAGTCACTCGTTTATTAAACACTCGTTCCGATAGTGCCAAATAAACTCGTGGCTCAAATACCGTTTACCGTACTTGTTGCATAATATACTATTAATGCGTTATATAAACTATAAGTATAAAAAAAATCTTATTTTTATTATTGTATCTTTTAATAATATGTGAATGATTTTAGAAAAAATAATGCATAGATAAACTAAGTATAATATAAATATAAAATAAATGAAATAAAAAAAAATAAAAAAATAAATGTGGCAACAATATATATGTTTCGTTTATTAACAAAACAAATTATGGTTAAATAAATGCAGTTGATAAAGAAAATTACAGCATTTGCACATTTAAGCTTCTAGATGCGGTATGTTATGTTTTTGTTTCTCAATACTACGAAAAGTTCTCCTGGATAAAGGTTTCAAAGTCGTTTATGTGTATGTACACTATTCTAAAATACCTAATTGTGTACTGATTAAACGTACGCAAAGTGTCAGTTTAAGACGTCAGCTTCTTTATTCGCGAGCCACTTCGAGCGTTTCCCGTACATTATAGGCACGATTTTGTGAGCGATCTGATGTTTATTTTGACGTTTTTACTTTTGAATAGGTTCACATCTAAGCATAACTTTAGTTTTATTTGAAAATTTCTTGTTTTTTACATTTCTGCCAAAATTTAATATTCTTAGATAGCATCAACATGAAAGCATATTAAAAGGTAAACTAGGGGGTCGTAAGATGTTGATGATGATGGATTTGGTAAAGGTGGTGAACTTGATAAAAGTAAATTGTCAATATTCTGAAAACGTAGTTATTCACCAATTTTAAACAATCAAACACTAAAATAGAGTTCTCACTCAACTCCTCTTATCGTATAACAATTTTAAGGGGTGGTGGCTTCTTGAGCAAGAGGTAAAAGGAGGTGGAACAAATTGTGTCTTTCTAAGGAAACTTTTTTTTGCATTTTGTCCAAAAGTTCTTTCAACGTAGGGACACTTTTCGATTGGCCGCCCCGTATAATTTCAAATTAGAATTTTATAGAAATCCCTAAAATGTAAAAATTTATTAAGAAATTTCGCTAAAAATAGTATTTTTTCCAATTTTTCGTAGATGTATCAAACAAAAGTTTATCATTTATTTGGAAATTTACTTGCTTCAAGTTTTTGTCTGTATCGTTTAGTCACAGGTTTTAAAATTCACATAGATTTTTACGAATTCATAAAAAAATTATGGAAATAGTTCTTCATATTGCATAGAAAAAACTAACCATTATTGGGCTTTTCAATTTCAGGTTGGTGTAGTAAAGTTATATATAATCCAATATTATTAGATTGTCGCTTTACTTCCTATATCTCAAAATATATTTCCCAATATTTCTTCGTATTTCCCCACGCTTCCTTGTATTTCCTCATGTTAGCTATTATTTACCAATATTTCCTCGTAATATGAAAAAGTTTTTAAAATCCTGATTGGCAAGTTTTAAAGCGAAGTAAATTTGAACTCATGTATGCAGGACACCAGACCAGCACAAGAATTAATAAATTTATTTATTTATTTAATTAACATGCTAGGTTAACAAGTACAAATAAATTCCAAGCCCAGGAAGTTTTACATACACTCCATTTTTGGTTGCACTACCCCCTTACTCTATTATATAAACTAACATAACGTAATGCACTTCAGTCCCCGCCCAACTAATCCAACAAAATAATGAAAACAAAACAAACCACAGTTCAAAACAACGCACAATAAAGTTCCCTATTTCCAAATATAAATTTACGGGTTTCATTTTTAAATCTACCTATTTTATTCATCAGTCTTATTTTTAATGGGAGGCTATTGTATAATGTAGGTCCTAAATATGAAAATTATTTTTATACAATTCACTTTTAGGCATCGGCACCTGTCTTGTTCTAGTGGTATACAGATGATTGACTGGGTTTAAAAAGACTTTATTCTGACAAATATAACAACAAACCATATAAATGTATAACGATCGAACATCACAAACCTTTTCCCTATAGAGAACATTTGTTGGATATAAGTGACGTTTTTTGTAAATCACTTTAAGGATTCTATTCTGAACCACATTCAATTGTCTTAACGTAGTACTGTACAGACCCCCTCAGACATACCGAAACTATAGTATAGTATCAACAGAAGTTGGTCAGTTAGATATTGCCTTGGTGAATAAAATTTGAATATTAAATATCTTAACTTTTTTGTTAAGAAGTTAATGTGACTCTCCCACTTCAAATTTGTATCAATATAAATACACAAGTATTTTACAGTTTTTGCTTGAAAAATTTGTTCATTTAAATTTTCAACACGTATACTTTTAAAAGTAGGACGATCAACAATAGTTTTTGAAAAAGTCATAAGTTAGTTTTATCTACATTCAAATAGAGTCTGCTGCAGTCTAACCATTCTTTTACCCTGTGAAGTTCGCCGGTTGCCTGGGCTCTCACCCCATCCCAGCTATCGCTGCTAAAGAGCAAAACAGTATCATCGGCGTATGAGACAACTCTTCCCTTAATATACAGATCGAAGAGTGTCGGTCCCAGTACTGTGCCCTGCGGTATGCCTATATTTATAATTTCCGGTTCGCTTATTGCATCTAGAATTCTTGTTTTTTGCACCCTACGTGCCAGATAGCTTCTAAAAACCTTCAACACAGTGCCTCTAATTCCATTGCGTTCAAGAACATCCAATAGTTTCATGTGCGGCACTGTGTCGAACGCCTTGGCCAAGTCCAGAAACACAGCGATACATTTATTGTTCTCATTGATCTCATCAGTCACATAAGACACTAGCTCCCGCAAATGAAATATTGTTTTAATATTTGCCCAATATTCTTTGTCAAGTTATGCAGAAAAGTGATGAGAATAACTAAAGTTTATCAAACCAATTCCCGAAATTCACTGAATATTATTGGGCGCACTCAACATCTAACAGCTACAAGCCAATCGACAAAAAACAAAAGCCAACGTTTACGGATTCCGATTCTTAATAGCAGCAATATAGGTGCGGAGAAAGAGGAAGGTATAGTCTCGTGCGTGGCCTCGGGTGAAGTAGCTAGTTCCAGTTTCAACTATTTTAGTTCCCTGGATTACTCAGCTTTATCAAGCTATTTATAGGTTTCTGAGGGGGATGACTTGTTTTGGTTGGTTTGGTTTTCATGTTTA